AATTTTTTTGAGACCATGAGTAAACGTTCCTTAGGTCCTCATTGATTTTGGCAGCGGCTTCTTCTATCTTTTTGCTGTCGAAGGAGTAATACAGTTGAGTGTCGTCAGCGTAAAGGTGGTACTTGCAGTGTTTTATTTGTGTAGGTAAATCAGCTGTAAAAATTGTAAAAAGAGTTGGACTTAACAGCGAACCTTGAGGTACACCGCGTAGGATGGATTTAGAAGTGGAAGATCTCTTAAGACCGTCTTTGCTTTCAACTATAACGGATTGTTCTCTGCCGTTAAGAAATGAGTGAAACCATTGACATGTGTTTTTTGAGAAACGATAATGCTGCAGTTTAGATAGAAGCAATTTCGGCTCCAAACAGTCAAATGCTCGCGAATAGTCTAGTAGCACCATAATGGAGCTAAGCCCCATATCCGATGCCTCCGTCAGATCGTCTGTAACTTTTAGGAGTGCCGTTTCAGTGCCATGCGCTTTGCGAAAGCCTGATTGTAGCTTTGGCGTTATATTATTGTTCCCTAGGTACTTTAGAACTTGCACCAGCACTACTTTCTCTAGTACTTTCGATAATACCGGTAAGATTGAAATCGGGCGTAGATCTTTTAGCTCGACCACTGTACTTTTTTTTTGGATAGGTTTAACTAGCGCTTTCTTCCAGCTAGAGGGGAATGTGTTGGTTTCAATAGACTTATTCACCATCTTAGTTATTATAGGTAGTGTGACTTTCAATGTCAACTTTATCATGTCGATGCTTAAATCATCGTGTCCCACTGCCTTAGTTTTTATATTGTAGATAGTATTTTTTACTTCCTCCTCTGAGACTGGTTTTAACTTTAACTCATCGTGTTCTGATGCATCAATCAGGTTCATACTTCTTGCGTCGAGAATTGTCCCAGGACAAGGTGGTAGATTAAGGAAATGATCGTTAATTTTATCTGGGTCGCTTAGATGATCAGGAATCATGTTGGTCTTGGTGCTGTTTACCTGGGTGATTTTTTTAATATTTCTCCAAAGCGTAGCCGAGTCCTTTAAGTTGTTGTTAATGAAGCTATTAAAATAGGCTCTTCGCTCGCGTTCTATCGAGGCGGTCACTAAGTTCCTAAGATTACGATAGTAGTCTTTGGCGCTCTCTTTTTTCACTTTTAGTGCTCGCTGTAATGCTTGGTCTCGCAGCCTCATCATGAATCTTATCATATTTGTTATCCACGGTTTCGGCTTAACCCCGCAGATTATTTTACGAATTGGAGCGTGGATATCAAACAGTAGAAGCATATAACTATTAAATGTTTTGACCATTTGGTTGACATCTTGCAGGTCACCGATGGAGTCCCATGGTAAGCGGTTTAAATCAGCATTAAAAGAGTCAAAATTTATATGTAGTAATGGGCGCCTATATTTAATTTCTTTTTTAAACTTGGACTTTCTTATGTCAAAGTCTACAATAACCAAAGCATGATCACTTAGACAGTAGTTATGAATAATTTGCACATTTCGGCACTTCGACGCGTTGTCAGTGAGAACGAGATCTAGAATGGTCCCTGAGTGCTGCGTGATTCGCGTGGGTTCCTTAACTAGTTGTTCGAGGTTATGCTGATGGCAGAAGTGTAAAAGTTCTTGCGCTTTTGGATTTTTCGGACTTGCCATGTCTATATTAATATCGCCTAAAACACATGTAAGGTCACATCTTGCCAAGGAGTTGATAGACTCACTGAGGGCGTCTAGAGCGTCTTGAACTCCCACCGACTCCGGTCTATAGGCAGTGCCAACGGCCAAACTGGAGCCCTGCAATTGAACTTCAAGCCAGAATTGTTCAAGTTTAGATGTAGGATGTTTTTGTACCTTAGAAGTGATTCCTTGTCGAACATAGAAGCCCACACCTCCACCCTTTTTCCCTTGCCTTGCCTTGTGTAAGAATTTGTAACTCGGGATCGCGGGTGCCGCAGCCTCCTCACCCGGTTTGAGCCAGGTTTCGTTGAGGGCTACGATATCAGGCGAGTAGTTAAGAAGCGTTGCTGTTAGTTCATCTTGTCCAGTGTTTATGGACCTAATGTTTAATAGGCCTAATCTCAAAAAAGAGTTGTTAAAGATAGCCATAGCCATGTAGGATACGCGATAAAAATATATTGTTACGTAAATAACATTTAGGTTTTCCTAGTATTCTAGTGCATTTATAGATAAAGTTTTGTAATCCCGAGTTCAAGGAGACAGTAACTAAACTATGTTTTAACTCTTCTAGATTCGTTTTCAAATTTAAATTTGTAGTCTTGAATGTAGGTGGGACAAATATAACACAAGTTTTTACACTATTTTCATGATACCATTCAATGTATATGCTTTCTAAGCAAATGATAACGAAATATAATATCAACCATACTAAGTAATTGCGCGGCAGTGTGGTTAAGAGCAGTAAGGTACAAAAAATTGATGAAACCATTTTTTTAACAATTAAATTAGTTTTTAACGACCTAACAATTGTAATAAATTGTGTATTGAGAAGTGACATAACATTAAAAAATTTACAAAAGTCATCTAAGTATGACAATACAGTGGTATATAACGAAAACTTTAAAGGTATATTATAGTAGACTTTGGATAAGTAATAAATATAAAATAAATCGCTTGTGTCCTTAATTAGATAAATTACAAACAATAATATATAATCTATAAATACCGAATTAAACGAACTATGCTGAGAAGGAAATATGTAAAGATTTCTAAATGGGGCTAACTGTGATATCACTAAAAACCCTCACGATGTCTACATGGTCGCGAATCCTTATTGCCGTTTGGGTGTAATCACGTCTGACAAAAATTTTGCCATTCTTGGTCCACGCAAATTTCCATTTTAGGCGACGAGATTCCTCGCGTGCCCTGTAGAACAGCTGTTTATTGAGGCGCGTTAGCCGCTCGTTAACGTAGACGCGGCGCGGGGCGGCGGCCGGCACGATGCCAGCAGAGTCGAAGCCGCGCCGCACCCGCGCAGCGCGTAGCAGCTCGTCGCGAGCGCCGCGCTGCACCAAACGGACAACGAGTGCGCGCGGTCGCGCTGCTGTTGCGTCTTCTTCTTTACCCCGCTCATACTCAGCTACGATAGTTTTCCGACCCACTCGCTCAGCACTGACGATATCGCGTTCATCCAGGGTAACACC